TGGGACCTCCTGATACTTTTGACCTTTGGAGCCAAGCCCAAACCAATCAGACACCACCCTTGTGGTTTATTTGACTATGTTTATATGCAGTTAGTCACATGAATTCAAACATTAGTTTTAATAAGTTGTACTTATGCATTATTTACTTGTAAACTTGAAATTTTAAGTAATATGCATCAATAAACAGTACTTTACGTATAAAAACAGGTTTTAAGAGTTTTTGTCAAATACTTTATAATATAGTATATATAATTCGATTTCAAAATATAATTTTAGTTAAGAAGTATATTTTAAAAAATAACAACATTTAATAAACTTTGAATTTAATAATTTAATTGGTTGAATATCCATCAAAAAGTCAACCCAACTAAGCATCATGGCCCTAGCTTAATTTGTACAGCTTTAGAACATGTCTATAAGCACCAACTGAATGCATGATTCGTTATGTTCACACTTCATATATAAGTTTATTCATAGCATTTTATGCATTCTTATATGTAAATCAGATATTTAAATGTTTGAAAAGTCAGTTGTCACGCTTAAGGTATGAAAATGAATTTTTGATGATAAATTATACAAAATAGGAATCAGATTAAGATCGAAATACGTTTCATTTTTAATTTGCCTTTTTTTAAGCCTAACAGTTTTTACGATAACAACCTCTCCGACCCTATGAGCAGAGGAAAAGTTCACTTAAATCTGACTCTTTCAAGACCTTTACTCTTCATGGAATTTACTTTGTTTTTTTTAACGAAACAAACTCAACTCGATATCAGGTGGACTCAAATTTGGATTCGAGAAAAGTGGTGGTGGAGGTCTATGACATAATCGCATAGCGTGGGGGTCGGTTGGCGAGAGCGGGAATTGTCGGGATACTCCAAAAGATGGAGGAGAATTCTAAGGTCCCGTTTGATTTGCATGAATAGAATGGATTTGAGGGGATTTGGATTTTAAATCCATTACACTCCCATGTTTGGTTTGTTGGATTGTCTAGATTTGAAATCCTAAGATTTAATTAAAATTCTACAAACATAGGATTTTGACATCCTTAGGGAGTGCTCAGGATTTCACGGGATTTTGTGAGATTGTATGAAATAAGGTTTTAAAAAATGTCAAAAAGATTTGTTTTGTAACAATCAATTAATAAAAATGTAATTTATAATTTTTTATAAATAATGGAATCCAATTCCATTCCAAATCCTACAAACCGAACACACAAATCATTTCAATCCAAATCCCATCATGAAATCCAAATCTCTCATAAACAATCATGCAACCAAACAGACCATAAGGGAATTGTGTTTGGAAAGCATATGGTTGTTGCAATGGACAGAGGTCTATATGAACACCACCTTCAGTATTTGATATACCTTAAAGATGCGGTAACGCTAGCTTCTAGAGCCAGAGTTCGAGCAATGTGATTTTCAAGCACTCGAAAGACGGATCATAGTGGAGCTGCTATCTTAGCTGCTACAAATTCGATTTATGAACACTAATATACTTAGAAGGTAATTTGCCACCCGTAAATTCTTATTTGATCATTTGTTTCTTATATTTGACTTTTTTCTTCTGTTAATCAATTTTTCGGAAAAGAATAAAATAACTTGGTAAGTTAATATTTTTAAGATTATGTTACAAAGAAAAAGTCATTTTCCAACATTGTCTGTCTAAGAGAATCTCCAACAAATTCTTTAAAATAGAGATTTTGGGGATTTTTATTTCAAAGATTCTTCAAACCATAAGGGTGGTGTCTGATTGGTTTGAACTTGACTTCAAAGGTTAAAAGTACCTAGAGATCCCAGGTTCAAATCCAAGGAGAAATAAAAATCCCCTTGTGGCCACGGAGGTTCAAATGCGATGACTCCGGCTATCTGCAAAGTAGGTGGTCGTCCTGTGATTAGTCGACTCGCATAGCGAGTTGGATATCCAGGTTAATAAAAAAAAAGATTCTTTAAACCTTCTCCAAATAAAGAAAGTAGGAGATAGATAGTGAAATTCTCCAAATTTGGATAATTCTCTGTTCTCCAACAGTTTTTATATGATTTTTCTAAAATAAAGAAGCAAAATATAAATTTTCTAAAAATAATTACATTCATCTCCAACAGATTTTCTATTTTAGATTTAACATAAATTATATTATTATAATATTTTCTAATTTATCATCAAAATACACTTTTTTTTTTCAAAACTTCTTATGAAAAACTAATAACTCAATCTCATTGGTGGAATTGAATAAAATAAAAAATTTCTCTCTCCTATCATCAAATTTTAAAGAATTTTCTATTTTAGAGAACAAGATACCAAAGCTGTTAGAGCATTTTAGAAAACAAAAACTCATTTTTTTTTCTATTTTAGAAAAGCTGTTGGAGAAATTCAAATTTTCTCATCTCACACATTAACATTATGAGTTACTTTTTATATTTTTAGTACTTGATTTAACCTAAAATAACAATTCTATATTTAACATTAATAAGGTGGAAAACTAAACCTTACACAAAGTCTAGGCCAAGTTGGTTGTTACTAAAACCCATCAACGGTCGTTATCTCCCAAAAATGAAAGATGTCCTTCGAATAATTATTTCCAATATTTTACCAATATACCTCAAAATGAAACTTTGTTCCATTCTAAAACATCAAATACTCCCCAATCTTTACATGTTATCCATTCTTTAAATTTTATTAATTGCATTTTTCTTTTTTTAAATTTCATTTTACTGTCCTCAAAATTTCAGTCTTGACATTTTCTATATTTTGGTTACTTTATGTAATTTATTAAATATAAAATGTATAAAATAAAAGATGAAAATTCCATAAACTTCATATTTTGGTATCATTTTAATCGTATTGATGAAAACTTTCTAATGATAAATTTTGTTATAAAAAAATATATTCTTATTATAATATTTAATAAAATTATATAAATTAATTAAAATAAATAAAAGATATAAATAATTCATTTTGAATAAATTAAATCTTTTATCTGTTCTGTCCAATTACGTCTTATGTGAAACATTTAGGACTGTTTTTTTATACACAAAATAATATTAAACATTTCAAATATAAAATAATATTGTGCACACGTTGTTGTTTTTATTANATAAATTAATCAAGATATATAAAATATATAAAATAAGTAAACAAATGTTTAAAGCGGATAATATATTCATTAATGTGATTTTAGGTATTTTTGAGTTTACAAATAAGATATCTTTAGGTCTTATGATTTTATGAATGTGAGCTTTTTAATCAATATTTATGTCAAATATTTTTGTATTTTTAGATATTAATTGTTAAATTTCGTTTAGATTAATTTTTTGGTTAAAAAATAGTATACAACTCATTAGAGGTAAATTGGTCATTTTTACCAATCATGTTATGTTTAGTCTTGTCTTACCAAACGTGTAACAGTTGTTTTGTCCTGATCTATTATTTTTTGTCATGAATTGTTTTATTCTCTCTGGATACCAAACGCATCCTTAAGATTGATCAAATATTGTTGGTTCAATTAGGATTTTGATTTGATTTTGAGGTTTAATTTTAATTTTGATGACCCACATTTGGTGGATTAAATATATAATGGATATTATTTGTATTTACATTTAAATGAGAATAAAAAAAAATAAAGGTCTAAAATACCCTTAACGTAATGATTTTTAACGGCCATCAGAAAAAGGAACCGAATCGGGAGGAAATTTGTAGAGATGAAAAGTCTTATAACAAACAAACCACAAAGATGAATTTTGTAGTTTACTCTACATTTTAGAGTAAACTACAAATTTGATTCTTTTTCGTCCCTATAGCTTTGAATTACAAGATGACCATTATGGTTTGAAAAAACGTTTGAATTTGATCTCTCCTTTTGTTTATCATTATAAATTTCCGTTAAATAAGAAAATTTTTGTTACTTTTGTCTTCTACAGTACTAGTGATGGCCAAAAACCTGTCTCGGGCCGGTCTCAACCGGTCCTAAGATTTCTCATAACCGGCCATAACCGTTCCTGGTCCCGGTCCCGCTCCAAAAAGTTGAGCCCGGTCAAGCTTTATTGTAACGGGTGTTGGGCCGCCTTGGTCCCAACCGGTCCCTGTCATTAAAAATATTCTTTTATATTTATTTTTTTAATAATATATATATTTAATATATTATAAAATTTGTAATTAGATCACTCAAATACATTTTAAAAATGCGTTTTATTATAATTAAAATTACATTGTCTTATAAAATATAACGAGAAACCGATAATTGTGAACGTTTTTTTGCGTTTTTTGTGAATCGAGAACGTGGTATGTAAATCACTCAACCAAGACACTTATATATAGTGTTTAGAAAGTAAAAAATACAAAAAAAGGGGCTAAGAATGGCTACATTTTAAAAATAGTTACATTTTTTAAAAATCGGGCCAGGCCAGATCGGTCCCGCAAAACACACCAAATCCATAACCAGTCCTGGGCCGTCCCGGTTCTTCGACGGTCCCGGGGCAAGACCGGTTTGACCATCACTGTTCTACACTATCAAAAACAACTAAGACCAAAACCAGAAAATCAAATTTAATTGGGTAAAAGACAAACAAAAATTAATAATAGGACAAAAATGTCCTTATTTAGAGGAAAGTCTTTTACAACCTTTAGATAAAAGAACTAAGTCCGAACATTTTTGCAAAGCACGATGGTCATTTTATAATTTTAAAACTTTAGGGACAAAAAGTATAATTTGTGAAAAACCATAAGGACCAGATTTGTAATGTTCTCTAAACTTTATGGGTTTGTTGAGCTAACACGAGACGAAACGAGATGAAGCGATACAACCAACTAGAGATAGCCAAATCGGCCTGGTCCGGTTCGGGACCGCCAGAGGACCGGGACTGACAAAGGACCGGCTCGGGACCGGGACCGGTAAGGACCGGTTATGGGACCGAAAACCGGGACCGGTTGAGGTTTTTGGTAGTTTCGTGGGACCGGGACCGGTTATAGGACTGACTATGGACCGGTCCAGCCCGGCCCAAAAATTCAAATAATTTTATAAATAAATGTATTTTTAAATAATTTTATAATGTATTTTTATAAGAAAATGTAATTTTAATTATATTAAAACGTATTTTTAAAGTGTATTTGAATGACCAAATTGTAAATTTTATAATGTATTAAAAATATATATCATTAAAAAAATAAAAATAAAATCTTATTTTTTAATCCAAGGACCGGTTGGGACCGGGACCAGCGGCCCATAACCGGTTATGAAGTACCTTGACCGGTCCTCTCATTTTCGACCGGGACCGGTTTTTGGCCATCTCTAAATGAACCAACTACAACAGTAGAGATGACCAAATGGGCCCGGCCCGGCCCATAACCGCCGGAGGACCGGAGAGGGACCGAACCGGCCTGGAACCGGTATGGACCGGTTGTGGACCGCTGGTTATGACCGGTTATGGATTTTAACGTTTTCTAGGACTGAGATCGGTTAAGACCGAAACCGGTTATAGGACCGGCCCGGCCTGGCCCGGCCCGTTCAACAAAAATCAACGTGTATATATATATATATAACAAAACGTATTTATAAAATTAAACGTATATATATACATATATATATATATATATATATATATATATAACAAAACATATTTTTAAACGTATTTATATAAAACATATTAAAAATAACATATTACAAACATATTAAAAATTTATTAATAAACAAAAATTTGAAAAAAAAATATTTTATTTGGCCGGGACCGGTTATGAGACCGGAACCGGGACCGGATTCCTTAACCGGTTACCGGTAAGCTTGACTGGTTACAAGATATTTCACTGGAACTGGGACCGGGACCGGTTATGACAAGACCGGTTACTGCCGGTTTTTATCTTGATTAGGACCGATAAGGACCGGTTAAGAACCGGTCCGGGACCGGATTTTGGCCATCGCTATTAAACAACAGTCCGGAAATGGGCCCAAAATAGCAAAAAGCAAAGCCCATATCATGACATCAGCATCAGCTTGAGGGTCACAACTCACAAGTGAAGAAACAATAAACAAGTTCTGGTGCAGTGCTCTGTAACAGTAACAGTAACAGAATTCTGTGCAAGTGAAGTGCCCGCCAAGAAACGAAGCTCCCTTCGTTAATTTCTTCTCCTATATCTCCTCTCCTTCACTTTCCAATCTCCAACAGATTCAGTAATCAATCAATCATGACGAGAGCAGACATCGATACCAGTTCTCCATTCAAGTCCGTCAAGGAGGCCGTCGCTCTCTTCGGTGAGAAAGTTCTCGCCGGTGAACTCTCTGCCAACAAAATCAAACAGGTTCATTCCTATCTTAACTTTTCCTTTTATGATTTCCAGATCAACGTTTTGTTCTTCGCATCACGTCTCTGTAATTTCACTTCAAAATCCACATTCATAACGATGAGATCCGAAATCCAGACTTATGATCAAATACATTCTACGAGATAGTTCTCACATCTTCAATTCTTTCTCAACAAGTTTAACGTCTTAATTAATGCTTTTCGATCAATTATTGATCCAAATTGATAAAAATCTCCGATCAATTTGTTCATGGTAAGAAATAATGTTGCGGATTTCAAAATAATTTCCATTTTCATGAATATCAACTAAAATTTCATCAAGTGCAAGTGTAAACTTGCATTTCACTAGTTACTGTACAGAATTTGCATAAACACACTTTGATCGGTGGTGTTGCATAAATTTTATATGATGACATTTTTGGCCTAAATGGTTCCAGAATCGTTGTCGATTATTACAGATACAAGTATCAAATTAACGTAAAACAACTGATAACAAACACTAGTTTGATCAATTTTCACTTTATATGACAAAAAAGAAGAGAGGATTGCTTAAAAGTGAATGAAGGCATCCTTTCTGGATGATCCATCATGGAGTTGCCCCACCCACAGGAAAAGTATTTCTTACATTAAATATTTTTTAATTGAACTTTATGTCCTTTTAATTTTAGTTTTCTTATTTTACTCACTTTTCTTTTGTAAAAATTCTTACAAAAACTTATCTGATCATATTCCACATATCTTATCTAGAATTAGAGTCGGAGTGTAATTCTATAACATTTGTGTCCCGTACTCGACTCTTTGATATATATATAGGGGCTGGTTCAAATAAAAACCAACCATATGGTACAAACTATGTGAACCGATCTTGATCGTTCATTTTATCATCAAACGGTTATTATTAAATGAGATT